CCTCCTAAGTTAGGTTTAGTAGGACAACCTTCTAGTTGAGTGGCGGGCTTTATACATCCGGGTGACCGATAGTAGCCTTCGACGTCCCTCGAGTAAAAATATATAGTATCCGAGTCTAGCCCCGACCGAGTACTTGCGATTTTCTTTCTCCGGATTTTTCGTGTGATTTTAATAGAACTTTTGGTAAAGCACTCGTGGTCTTTTTTCCGGGATTTTCCCGTGTTTTCGTTAACTTTCTTTAAGTCGTCATTTGTTGTTTTATTGTTTTTGCTTCGAGATTTCCTTCGTAAGTCATTTGCCAATTTTCTCGAGTTTTCTTTCGTCATGGGTCATTTGCCGCTCTTTCTTGAGTTTTCCTGGTGACAGTTCTTTTGTTGATACAATGCATGCTAACTTTTTTTTTATTTCTGTCATTATATTTGTACCTGCTATTGTTTCCCTTACACACTATACCTTAGAATAGGAGGCCAGTAGTTTGTTTCATAGGAGGTACCTGGAAGCAGATCGTTGACATCGTTGCCTCAACAATTGAATGTACACTTAAAACTAACATCGAACTCGAAGGTGATACGAAGAAGAGCTTGGAGCTAGCATTATGGGCAGCCGACCATCTTCAACAACATAACATGTCTACATCAGCTAAACCAGTCATTAGAAGTAAACAACAAGTCATAGGGTTTCGAGTTTGTTTGCCTAGTGCAACATAAATCCTTAACTTATCTTTAGGTATGTGTATGGCTCTGCCGTACAATCTAAGCACTAACTTGTTTTAGGATTCCGAAATTGTCGTTCGTCACGATCTAAACCCTCCCATCTTCCAGGTTATTTGTGTGATCGTTTCACACAAATGTAAGCCCTAAATTAATAAAATTAACAGGATAAAACATTAAAAAAATTTCTCCCTAAACTTCCCCTAAATTGAAACCAAGCCATAGGATAGCTTGGGAAGTCACCGAGGTTCTCCTCTGGATCGATGACACCCCCTAGTTCTTCCTCCTTTGGACTCTACAACAAAAAAATGCTCCAAATTTAAGTCATTCCTCTTTCACACATCTTTATCCAATTTCGTTGAAAAGTCCTATCATTTTAACTTCTTTGAAGATAATTTTTCATGATTTTTTTCGAGAGTTTTTTTAGGTGACTTCGGTTATCTAAGATACAATTAACTATAGGGGTTTGCCCTTATAGGAAATTTTTCCGAACCCAGCTTAATATAAATCTTATTTAATTCTTCGTATTAAATAAGAGAATTTGTCGGCAAATAAAATGGTTTCGCAGACCAAACAAATGTCATATGATTCTTAGTTTATTTGATCGAGTCTCACCCTCAAGTCTTGTGTTTATCTTTCAGGATAAATACAGGATTTGAGGTATAGTGTTCTTTCATTTAAACTATGGAAGATATGAGATCAGTTTGATTTCATATTTTTTCTAAACTATATAAATATGTAAATTAAACGACTTTCCGAAGCGGGCGACGGAATTTTGATTCTGGCAACCGACAACTTCCAACGGGCAACTCCTACAACCGAAAATAATGCCGACAATATAACTAAGGCAAAAAGATATGGGCTTAAAGTTGATCCTTGATGCAATCCAATTGAAATAAGAAAATATTTGGTCAATCCTCCTTCTATTCGAACATAAGTAACAGTTCTATACATAACTTTATATGACTTGAATATAAGTCATATCAACACCTTTCTTCTCAAGAACTCTCCAAAGGATATCTTTTGGAACATTATCGTAAGCTTTTTCTAAATCAATAAAAATCAAATATAAATCCTCCTTATTAGCTCTGAACTTCTTCATCAAATCTCTCAATACATGTATAGCTTTCATAGTAGACCTGTCTGACATAAATCCAAATTGATTAAGAAAAATCATTGTAATACATCTTAACCTATGTTCAAATACCCTCCCTTAATTTTAAAGTACGACACATCAACTTAATTCCTCTATAATTTGCACGCTCTTGTGCATACCCTTTATTCTTAAAAATGGGGACCAAAATACTCTTCCTCCATTCCTCAGACATCTTTTTAGTTTTTGAAATAATATTAAAGAGTTTAGTCCTAAATATTTTCACACTTCAATTGGGATATCATCAGGTACTACAGACTTTCCACCCTTTGTTTTCTTTAAAGCCTTCTCAACTTCTTTTTCACTAATGCAAAGGTAAAAATGAAATGTTTTATTATTATTAACGACATTAAGATCATTAAGGTCGATCGTATTTCAAAAGTTTCATTAAAAATTTTATCAAAATAACTCACCGCCTATGTTGAATATCTTTCTCTAAGAAAAGAACTTTTTGATTTTCATCTTTAGTACACTTTACTTGAGTTAAATCTTTATTTTTCTTTTCTCTTTATTTGGCTAGTTTATACATATATTTTTCACTCTCCTTAGTATCTAATATATTATAAAGATCATTAAAAACAAAATTTTTAGCGTCACATATTGTTCTTTTAGACTTCCTGCTAACCGTTTGATATTTTTCTCAGTTCTCTAAACTTTTACATTCAAATCAATTTTTATAACATAACTTCTTATATTTTATTTTTTCTTGCACATTATTATTTCACCACCAATTATTTTTATTTATAGAAACATTTTATTTTGATTTTCTAAGTACATCTTTTGCTACTTTTTTAATAGTGTTTGTTACTTTAGCTCACATAGCATTTGCTTCTTCATGAACATCCCAAATTTTGAAATCTTGAATTTTACTCAAAAAAATAATTTTATTTATGACTTTTAGGTTTCCCTATCTAATTCTACTACTAATAATCGATATTGAGCACTTAAATCCTCACTTGAAATAACCATACAATCTCGAAGATCTCTTCTTCTCATAAGAAAATAATCATTTAAATTTTTATAAGATTCATTCTTATAAGTAATAAGATGTTCATCTCTTTTCTTGAATAAAGTATTAGTAATAACAAAATTATACGCTAAAGCAAAATTTAAAATTGTTCTACCTTCTTCATTAGTCGCTCCAAAACTGTAGCCACCATGAATATTTCTAAAAGCTTCTACCACTCTACTGATATGCTACTGATATGTCCATTTAAACCACCTCCAACAAAAATTCTTTCTTCAAGAAGTATCATTTGTATTATGTCTTCTAAGTCAATAAAGCCTTAATAAATAAAAACAAAAAGAATTCAATAAGCCCTTAATAAATAATAAATAAAAACAAAAAACAAAAAACAAAAATGATCTCAAACAAGCCCTTACTAAATAAAAAACTCAATAAGGTCGCGAGATGCATTAGGCCTTACCTTGCACAAAGAATAAAATTATGGTAGTGGCCACACTACTGAACCCAAAAGCAAAGTATTTGCCACATCATCAAAGAACCAAGGGAAGCAACCACACAAGGTTATTTTTTTGGATATTCTATGGGAGGCAGACCAAGGAGGCCACCTAAGGGACATTAAAAGATTATTTACCTGTTTTCTAGTAAAACTATTGATAAAGAGATCATTATCAAGTTTGTTTGTTTCAAAAGTTATTGTTGTTAGTTGGATGAGAACCATATTTTAAAAAAAAAAATCAACATGAGAGATAATCATAGCATTTGTCTTTGGATATCTTTTTTGTAAATATAATCTACAAATACGGGAATACACTTTTTTACTTTAAGAGAAATAAATGGCAATCTCCCTCTCCCTCTCAATTAAAAAACATGATTGTGAAAGAGTAAAAAAATAGAAAAAAAAGGAGAATTCATGTTTGTAATTTCTAAAGAAAGGAAATAAGAGGAAAGGCAAGTCAACAACAACAACAACAAAATTTTATCCCACTAAGTGGGGTCAGTTGCATGAATCATTTTTCTCCAATGTGGCGTATTGTGTGTCATATTTTCATTTAATTCTAATAAATTAAAATAATTTTTTATACAACATGCCCAAGTCTTCTTAGGTCAACCTCTACCTTTTTTTTTACAAAAATTGAATCTAAAACATCTACTTTACTAACTAGATCATTAGATGGTTGGCGTTTAATGTGACCACACAATCTACAACTCTATCTAATCTTGTCTGCCACAAGAGCCACACCAACGTCTTCACGGATATATTTGTTTTGCACTCTAAGCATAAAACTACTCATCCACATAAGCATTTTCATCTCAACAACACTTAGTTTTATGTTTCTTTCTTATAAGCCAGCATTCTACTCGATAAAGTATTACAGTTCTCACCACACTCTTATAAAATTTTCCTTTAAGTCTAAGCAATACTTTTTTATCACACATAACGTCCCCATTTATATCACCATTACTTTGAACAATAGACCCGAGATATCTAAAACATTCACTCATTTAATGATCTGATCACTCATTGTTGCAACTTCGCCACTAGATTTACTGGTAATAAAATTAAATTCAATGAATTCAAGTTTAGATCTATTCAAACTAAAGCCTTTAGACTCTAAAGTTGATCTCCATAATTCAATTTTTTTCTTGAATTCTTTCTCTTGTTTTATTGACAAGAAGGACATCATCAGCGAAAAACATACACAATGGTTCATCCTCCTGTAAATGTCCAATAAGAACATTCATAGCTAAAGCAAATAGATATGGGCTTAAGGTCAATCCCTGATACAATCCAACTGAAATAGATCCTGCTCGACCACAAATAACAACTCTCGTATTCATAATTTTAATGACAAAAGTCGAACCCAAACAAATGCTATTATCAAGCAGCTAGAGAATTGTTATTTCTAATTTAAATTTCACAAGAAAATTTCCTTAATAGGGTGAGCCATAAAAAAAAAACAAGATTGAGATAATAAAGGGCATTTAAGAGGTGCTTATATGTTTTGCTACTCCAAAAAGATGTCCATAGCAAATCACATTATTTATTACATGATACCTTACATAATAGAAAAATCAATGCAGTCAAATAATGATTAATGTTGATAAACAAGATAAAATCTGACTCATCATAGACATCAACTTTTGAAACAAATATTTAGAGAAAATATACCTTCAAAATCTTGCCAATGGATGCATCTAAAAAATCTGGCAAAGACAAAAGTCGAAGAGTATGGCCCTAGAAATTAAAATAAAAAATTTCTTAAAAAATAATTTATTTAAATTGTGCAATGAAAATTGAACACCATGCTTACCGTGGGAGCGGTATCAAAAACTATGCGGCTAAACATGCCATATTCTTGTGATTCAAGAAATTGCATGACCTAGAAGAGAGATTTCCATTAGGAAACTATAGAAACCACAAAGGAATATAACCATTGAGAGCAATTAAAAATAACCACTAATTTGTTTCAAAATTTCACACCTTTGAAATTGCAATAGCTTCATCTAATCCCGGGGGAGGTGTGTCAAGTAGCTCTCCTAGCTTTAGCTCTCCAAGCTTTTGATAAAAGGATGAAAAAGTAAAATGAATAAGTACTTTAGAAAAGAGTCAGTTAAACAAATTGTATTAAGAAAGTCAATTTCTTAGATTACTCTTACAAATTGTATCAAATCAGTATAAAGTCTCAGTTTCTTAGATTACTCTTACAAATTGTATCAAATCAGTATAAAGTCTTACTGCAAGATCATTTATCAAGGATGTTAAGAACTGTGGAGCAAAAAAAACTTTAGACTATGGCCTAAGGAAGGGGCCTAATCAACTAATATTTTTCATCAATCCAATGTGAAACTTTACCCAATACTCTCACACATCTCAACAATCACTCTCAAGTGAGCTCTGCACATCGATCAGTACTCTGCCCATAAAATGAAATATATTCAAAATCATCAAATATCCTGCACCAAGAGCTCATTCAACCACATATAGCTACTATGGAAGAATCTTGCTCAATGACATTGGATGCCAAAAACGCATTAAAGGCCCATGGCAGACACAAACTGCATGAACAGCTTAATCCAAGCTGTTCATGAACTTTGATATCACCTATTAGAGAGTGTGGAACAAAAAGCAACCCACGTTGATATTGATAGCACCGATGCTTAAACCCATTTTCAACCTAAAAACTTAAATCCATCAGTGAGGACCAAACAATTGATGTTTTTGCTCAAATATATTTTTTTACTTTTCCGATGGATGACTAAACACAGTACTCTCACATGCCTTAACAAAATACTCTTATTAAAAATCAAAGTTCCATCATATATAACGCAAATTCAGCAGAAGATTAAATAAAGAACATCAATGACCTCAAAATTGTCATAATTGGAGCCTTCGATACACTCTCTGAAACATGTACACTTTAACCATCAATTAATGCTAAACCATGCAAAATTCGTACTGTTAGTTGAGGAGATGAACTCGAGAGTTATAAGGCTAAGACTTTACACCATTTAATGGATTTGTAGCAGGTCTAGCCACAGAAAATTGATGGGTCTATGGATAATGCTCATCAAGAAAACTGTTTAAAGGAACATCCACCATTTTATGTAAAAGCACCCCAGAAATATGACACATTTTACAGATTAATACATAGAAATATGACAATATTTTATAGAAAACTATGAACATGAAGATGGTTTCCGGGTTTTACCTGTTCTGCAAGTATACCAAGACCCATACTATCCATAAAGTCTTTGACTCCTGTACCTCCAGTTTTTTGACTAGCACTACGGAATTCCTCCCTAGCTTTATCAGGATTTATCTGCAAAAAAAAGGACATTTTTATTGAACAACGCCACAAAGGAAATGAAAATAAACACCAAATCATCACTATTTGAACTAGCACATAGTTGGCCCTATAAACAGACTGACAGTTTCTGTAAGGTAACTTGCACATTTAATAAGAGGTGTGGGCAGCAAAGTACCTTACCTCAAGTGCAAACAATGGTGAATCAACTCCACTAACAGGTACCAACGTTCCACCAGTCAAGTCCTAGAAAAAATACGTATCAAATAAAATGTAGCTTTTGTCAACGGTAAAATGATCCCCGACTCTTTGCAGGGGAGCCATTTTAGTTCCAAAGTTGATAAAAGTGTCAATTTTGTCATCAAAATCTCTTTTAATATAGGTTTAGATAGTCCCCAATGTGGACTATTTTGGTCCACATTAGAACAGTCTTGGGACAAATTTAGCATTTCTATAAACTCTGAGCTAAAATGGCATAAGAAACTATTTGGCACTTCACTAATTGAGTAAAATATCCGGCCATTTTAAGCTAATGAGATATCTTTAGCAAAAATTAACAATGAACCTGTGCAAATGAATCACTCAAAGAATGTGCAGGGTCAGTTGAGACTACAAGCGTAGGATGGCCATTATTCGCAAACTTAACAGCTAGCGAAGCTGCACAACTAGTCTTCCCAACGCCACCTTTTCCTCCAAGCATGTAATACTTTCTCTTAGCACTCGCAAGCATCTCATCAAAATCTGCCACTGATCCCGCAGGGGTAGCTACTGACCTCACTGCAAAGATCCTAAAAGTGAGCGTGGGGCACGGTGAAATCAAAGCTTAAAGCAAAACTGACTCAAAAGCATGTTATATTTGAAATTAATAGCAAATGAGATCAATTTCACACATTATTTGATTAGTTCCTCGGTTGCAGAAAATCTTCCTAGATTGATACTTGCCGAACAAATTGCTTCATCGCTCCCTTGACCACATGAATATAAGCATGATCAAGTAGTGGAGCACTTGTCTCCTCGCCGCCATCAAATCCCGCCCCCATAAAAACCCTAATAACTTAAAACAATGAAAGAAAGATCATCGACTTGACCGCATGACTGTGGGAGATGGGGGGTCTGGGACGCGGGCCGACAATAGAAACCGCGGTGTGCCGCCGCGAGTGAGAGGCGGCACGCGAGGCGCGGCGTTGGAGACATCAGCATCGCCAGTTTCAGCGAAGGGCGGCGACTGACCGTACCGCTACAACGATCGGTTCGTGCGTTGGTTGTGATCTTAATCCGACACAGTGAAAAAATTTGAGTAGGACTGTGAGGGTTATATTAATATTATACTCACGTCATATTTCTGGTAATTTTCATATAATTTTTATGTAATCTAGATACGTAAAATATAAGCATAAAATTTATTTATAAGTTCAGCTAAGTTACAGGTATGTTATATAAAATTTACATGGGGGTTATAAGGAATATAACGCAAGTATAATGCCGATATAACGCTCATATAACATACATTATGTACGCAGCGCTGCATACATCTTACGTACGCAACTTTTTTTCCCAGAAACTGCAATCTAGAGTTTAAGAGGGCAGGTAGTTTAACCCGAGTTCAACCCATTTTTTATTTACTAATTCAATTTAACCCGTATAACCTGTTTAACATAAGATATATAGCTATTTGGGTCAAAGTCCGTTCAATTTTGAGTTAATTTTAAGTTAATTTCAAGCCCGTTTCAGATTATTAAGCTAATTGGGGGTTTGCGGGTTAACTCCAACATGATTATAAAAATTAAATGAGTTAAAATTCCTAATAATTAAGCTAAAAAATTATTTAGATCAACTCGAATCTAAATTGTTTAGTCAGAATCATTTTATAGTGAACCTGTCGGATTAATTTCTAGCACCCCTAACTAAGGTGTTTATGGAATGGTTGATATCTCTCATCTATTTTGATAAATACTTCCCTAAGATTTTAATAGAAGATTTACATATATACCACTTAATTTTTATGTATTTACATATCTAACATTTATAGCTCAATCTATATAGATATATATCACTTTTTCTATACGTGAAAAACAGTATTTTACTTTGTTTTTAACTTAAAATGATTATATTTTTTAAATTGATAAAATAAAAAATTTTAGTGATAAAAATATAAAAAGTAAATTCATGAATGCCCCTGTTTTAATAGGATTTTTACATGGCGTATCGAACCATTTGGGCCTTCACATATATACCACCAAGTTCTCATCTATTTATAGATCTAACACATATATTTTAATTTTTACATTTATATCATTCAAATATTTCATAACACATAAAAAATATCACAATTTTATCTTTTAAGAAGTGAAATACATAATGTCTTAGGGTGTGTTTAGAGCAGCTGCACTTTATCGAAAAATAATTTTGAAGCTTCTGAAGAATAATCAAATGTTCAAAAAACTGCGGTGATTATTACAATTTTTTTTTTTTTTGAAAAAATCGGACTGTAGCTACAAAGCTGCCACCGCACCTTGTTAGGGCCGGTGGAAAAATGCAGACTTTAGTGGCGGCTTTTTATAAAAGCTGTCAAAACGAACTTTACTGAAACAGACAAAAGCGCACTGGTTTCGCACCGTCACTGCGCCGCTGCCCCAAACAGACCCTAAGTACTTAGTGCCAATCTTTCTGCTTTAACTACCACTTCTATTATACTAAGGCAAAAATATTGCAACTTAAATGTCATAATCTATCTTCAATGACTAAGACAATTTATAAATCTAAGAACAAAAATAAAACTTTTTAATCATACACTATGCCAAGTGGGAACTAAGACTTGTTTTGCACTCCTTCATGATAGCAAACATAAAGATGAAAAACATTGAACTACCACTTGTTGAAGTTTATGGAATATATTTCATTTCCACTTTTAAAATTACTTTCAAGCAATGAGTTAAACGAAATCTATCACCAAAGCTTGTGAATAATCTTTCATTTTGAATCTCTTCAAGAATTTATTGATATAGGTCTTCTTAGGTTGGGTTAAAAGGCCTTGAAATTTATCACTCTGTATTTTAATGTCAATGACATAAGAGACATCACCCATATCTTTCATATCAAATTTTTAGAGAAAAGATATTCTTACTCGATTGATAAAATGTATTCATTAGTTGTAAGTAAATTATCATCCACATCGAGGGTTAAGAAATAAAATTTTCTCTCACTAACATTCTGTTCATATATACATTGATTTATGACATTCTTTAGGAATCCAAATGAAGAGAATACATCATGAAATTTTAGAAACTATTGATGAGAGACTTGTTTTAATCCATAAAAAAAATTATTAAGTTTTTTCCATTTAATATTTGTTATCTCTGCAAGAGAATCCTTCTAATTATATCCTATAATCCTCCTCCTCAAGATCTATATTAAGAAATTCAGTTTTCACATTCATTTGTTGCAACTTTAAATCAAAATATGCAACAAGTATCACAATAGTTTTGAAAGGATTCTTCTTAGATACATGAGAAAATGACTCCTTGTAAGCAATTCCTTCTCGGATCTATATTAAGAAATTCAGTTTTCACATTCATTTGCTGCAACTTTAAATCAAAATATGCAACAAGTATCACGATAGTTTTGAAAGGATTCTTTTTAGATACATGAGCAAATGACTCCTTGTAAGTAATTCCTTCTCGATAAATGAATCTTTTAGCAACAAGTTTTGCTTTATAATTTTATATGTTGCCTAATGAGTCTCTCTTTATATTATTGAACCATTTGGAACCTATGAATTTTGCACTATTAGGCAACTCAATAAGATCCTAGACTTTGTTATGTGCCATAGACTTTATATAATTTTCTATGACATCCAATCATAATTAAAGGTCCTTGTAATTCATGGCTTGCAAAAATATTTCAGATTCATTTTCTGGTCCAATATTATATATAGTTTGACGCTTGAAGATATATAATGTAATCACTTGGAAATGATGATCTTCTTTCTCTAATAGATCTTTTTAATATTGTAACAGCCTCCTCTTGAGGAGTTGGCTGTTCAACTTCATCGAATATCTTATGAACAATTGGAACTACAAGCTAATTATCATCAGCTTGTGGAGTCTCAAGTTTTATTTCTCTAACAACCATTTAATCCTTAGGAGTGTTATGCACAACAATCAACATGTCACTTAAAATGGGAGGTTGAGCACCTATTATTCTTTTTGCAGAAACTAAGCTCTATTGATAAATCACTCTCAAAAAAATGTTCATTGTCAAGAAAATTTGTATTTTTTATTTCAACAATCTAAGTATTGAACTATTCAACATATCTAATGAAATACCCACTAATAGTCATCAGATTCAGCTTCTTTTTTATGAATTACAAATTCTCACTTCACATGGACATCCTCGTACACATACATGTCGCAAATTTGATTTCTAATTTGTTTATAATTAAAAAGATGTTATAAAATAGTCTAAGTTGGAACCTTATTTAATATGTAGACTCTCATTTTAAGAGCTTTAGTCTATAATAAATAAGATAATTTAGAGCTATTAATCATGCACCTCACTCTGTCCATTAATGTTATATTCCTTATTTCAACCACATTATTCTGATTAGGCGAGCTAGGTAAACTATTTCAGATAATATATATCTATATATGTATATATTTTGAATAAATTTTCCAAATGGATCATCTACTTATTCTTTTTTAATGTATATCTCAAAATGCTATTGACCACTCTCTAATCTCACAATCTTTATTTGCTTTCCACATTATTTCTCTATTTATGTCTTCAAAATCTTAGAGAAATCTACTACTTCATTTTTATTATGAAGCAAGTAGATGAGGAGCATGCATTCTAAGTTATTATCAATACCACAAAAACAAAAACAACAACAACAACAACAACAACAACAAGTCTTTATCCCATTATGTGGGGTCGGCTACATGAATCATTTTTCTCCATTTGCGTCCTATTGAGTGTCATATTTTTATTTAATTCTAATAGATTAAGATCATTTTTGTTACAATATGTCCAAGTTAACATAAGTCAAATCTAAAACATCTTCTTTTCTAATAGAATCATCAAATGGTCGGCGTTTAATGTAACCAAACAATCTAAGACGTCACTCTCTAATCTTATCCGCCATTGGAGCTACACTAACCCTATGAGAGAGAATGTTGAACCCTGCTTCTAAGGAGAATGCACAAAGGTTGTTTAGGGAATTCCTCTAAGACTCTTTGGGTCATTCGAGCAACACAGTCTATCATACTTTGAAAGTGTTTGAAAGAAGCATTCTTAGTAATAACTTAATTTTTTTTTTTTTTGCAAAAACTTATCCCCAAGAAGGATCCTAGCTTCATTCTTAATTGGTCTTTGGCCTTTCTACACTCACCCTCATCTTTAAGGGTATTTGATCTAATACTGTTAGCCAAGCCTAAGAAATTATAACAATGAAAGGAGAGAAAAAACGTATCAATTATCCTGCATTGTGTAACAACAATATATATAT